TGGGGGCGAGCTCTGGGCACATTTTGAAGCCGAACGCTCGAAATGTCCGTTGGTGCTCCCCCTCGAAGGGTCTTCCTGAAGGTGTCTTGGGGCTCTCTAGCGCCGTCTTGGGAGAAACTTAGGTCTTTGGGGCTCTCTCGGAGGCTCAATGGGCCGTCTTGGAGCAACCTTCGGGGCTTCTTGGGCCGCCTCAAAGGGTCGGGGGCCGAAAAGATGAGAACGCTGAAAACATTCAAACCCAATGGGAAATCGTTGCATGTTGCCTCTGGGGGTTTCTTGGGAGTGGTCTTGGAGGCATCCTCGGGCGTCTTGGAGGCGGTTGAAGCCGTCGGGAAACTATCTTGGGCATCTTGCAGCGACTCTGGGTCCGGTGACTCTGGACCCCCCGTAGACCGCCTTGGGGGCCTCTGGAGAAGCTCATGAGTCGGGCGTTGGTAGAACTGGGTTTAGTGGAACCTGGTTTAGTGGTCTGTACCGGGGGCGCCCCCCCGTCCCATTTCCACTAACCCGAACTGCCATCACCAGAAAAACCACCAGCCATGGCAAACCTGGTTTAGTGATTCTGGCCAACTCGAAGGCTCCGGGGCCCTGCCACCAACCGGGTCCCCTTACCCGGGGTCCTGGCCATACCCGAATGAGGGCCCCGAAGGCGGGCCGGCAGTGCCGGCACCCGTGACGGGGACCGTCCACCCTCGGAGCCTGCGCTCGAGCGTCGGGAGGCCACTCCTGGAAGGCCTTTCGCAAAAACGGCCACGGCCTCTCGGCAGCGGTCCGCGCACCACGAGGCCCGGTTGGCCCGAAGTAAACCCGGGAGTAAACTGGATTAACCCGGAGAAGCAATTAAGGACCCCCCCGGCGTTATCATTAGCACCGCGCCGTAATTAAATAATTATTTGGGGGGGTTTTCGCCGAGCGATATTATTAGCACCGCGCAAATGGAAGGAAAAAAAATAAATCCAGCGCCCCGCCTCGGGTGGCATCCCAATTAGAATTGTCAACCGTGGGAAGCGATTAAGAAGCCCCTCCCCTGCGACACCCGTGGGACCTGTGGGACCTCACACGGGAACCACTTTGAAACTTGTGGGACCTGCGAGACCTGCGGGACTCCGTGGGACCCGTGCGATCTGGTGTACCCCCTCCTGGTGCCAGGATAACGCTTCCGGGTGCCGGGTGCGTTATCCTTTCACCGGAGAGGGGGGGGGGGGGGGGTCCTTAATCGCTTACTCGGGTTAGACGGCATGAGCCGGAAGGGTGCGAGTTTGCTGCATTGGGCCAGTTCTCGACCGCGGACATACCAGCGCCGACGCTGCGCGCAACCTCCCAGGAGCTGCATCCCAGCGAGTCCAGCTAAGGCTGGGACTGAAGCTGAGGCTGCGGGCAGAAGGCTGACCTGCCGGTGAAGGGGATTCACTTGTTGGTCGCGACGGCGCGGATCCACGCCGCGTTCGCAGGCGGCCCAAGGACACAGCGGCGGGGCCGAATTGGGCACAACAGGAGCTGAGGTAGAGCGGGCGCGCGGGAGAAGAACGGAGCACACCCAGAGCGCGACGATTCTTGAACGCGCGTGCTGGAGCAAGGGAGCGCACGACAGGGAGACGTAGACATCAAAGGATGTGAGTACAGTCAACCCGTACAGTAAGGATGTGCGGTAAGGATACAAAGGCCTTGGAGGGCCACGTTGACGTTTTTCGAGCGAGATTGGCCAGCGAAAGCGGCCAAGGATGGACCGAGGAGGCAAGGCTGCAAGGGGACCCTTGGTGAGGTTGCCCATCCTTACTGTGCGGGTTGACTGCAGCGCTCGAACCCACGGGCCGCAATCGAGTCACACACACAAGAGAGAGGCGAATTCGTTGTCTTGCTGTCTTCTGCTGTTTTTTGCGCACTGTTGCGCATTTTTGTTTGCTATTGCTGTCTTCTGATATTTGTTGTGCATGTTTGCTATGTTTGCGCATTTGTCGTTGTCTTGCTGTCTTCTGCTGCTTTTGCGCATTTGTTTTGTTTGCACCGTCTGCCGTGCTGGACCGCGGCCGCCCCCGGACCCTGGCTCGGTGCACGCGGCACGCCCTCCTGGACCGAAGCCAGCGGGGCCCGTGCACAAGCCCAGGGTTGTGTTGCCCCCATCGCACTCGTTAACTTGGGAGTCCCGAAACGGTGCGGTGACAGACCGTGCGGTGACCTCGAAATCCCCCAAGACCTCACCGCACGGTCCGTCAACGCACGGTTTTGGGACCCCGGGGGCCCCTCTCGCCCGAGACATCCTCGGAGAACGACCCGAGTCCCAAAACCGTGCGGCGACCCCGAATCCCCGCCGACTCACCGCACGGTGCGGTCACCACACCGTTTGGGGGCCTCCGATTAACGGGCGAAGAACAGTATAAAATAAACTTTTTCGCCGTCGGGGACACCTGCCCCAGGGCGGCTGGAAAGTTTATACCCTTACGGTGGCACCGTAGGGGTAGAAACTTTCCAGCCGCCCAGGGGCAGGTGTCCCCGACGGCGGAAAATTTATATTATACCGTTCTTCGCCCGCTGAACTCGAGGACCACCTCCCAGAAATCATTTCGAGCAGCCGGAAAAGGGTCGAGAGAGTGTCGAAAGAGTGTCGAAACCGTGTCGGACGAGTGTCTCCCGGGGCCGGACACGTGAAAATTCTCGAGTCTCGGTGCCTTTATCTGGTGCTCGAAATTCTTTCTGGCGATCAAGGCTAAAGTAGGTTGGAACAGCATGAGCCCAGGGCCTGGGCTGGCCCCGGCTGGCCACGGCCAGACATGGTGGTGCCGCGTATACCCTGACGCCCGCCGGTGTGGCTCTGCTCCATGCGCGGCCCCAGAGGTCCCGATCCCTCCTCCTCCTTCTCCTCCGCCTCCTCCTCCTCCGCCCTCTCCTCCTCCTGGTCCTCTTCCTCCGCCTCCTCCTCCTCCTCCTCCTCCTGGTCCTCCTCCTCCTTCTCCTCCTCCTCCTCCTCCTCTTCGGCTACACGCGAGAGTGACCCTGGGCACGAGTGGCCCTTGGTGCGCGGCTCTTTGAGGGCCCCGGGGGGGCCACCACACGAGCGAGCAAGACGCTGCTGTCGCACCGCACGCGACGATCGAGGGGCCCCCATGGCCGCGCACCAGAGGGCACCCCGGCGAAGGGTGAAGGGGCCCTGGGACACGCAAATAAACAGACACAAATAGCAGGATTCCCCATACTTTCTTATATTTTCTAAGTTTTCGTCTCCCCCCCACTTCCCATATTTTCCCATATTTTCCTGGGAGTCGACGATTCATTATGTCTGTGTGTTTCTTTCCCTCCTGAAAGGATCACTCTTACGTGTAGTCGATCCCTCCCCAGGGCCAGCCCTTCCCACCGCATCCATTCTTGATGGCCCCGGTGCCCGAAGACTGGCCCTACAGTCGGGGCGTTGACCTAAGGAACCCTAAGTAAGGAGCGAGGCCCCTTTTTTCCCATCAGTTAAAATTCGTTTCCCCATTGAAAACCTAAGGAAAACCCGAGGCAAACTGTAAAACAATCAAGGAACACCGAGCCCCTCCCCAGCGAAGAAAGTTCCTTCTTCAACGCCCCGACTGTATAGAGGCGAAGTCGAGAAAAAATGCCCAGGTTGGCACACACACACAACAAAAACGCGAGATGTCTGGGTAGCTGAGCTGCAGATATGGTTCCAGCAAGCTCTGTTCAAAGCCGGGCAAAAAGAGCAAACGGCACTGAAGGGGCCCAGGGACACACAAATAAATACACACACAAATAACAGGATACCCCCCAATGTTTTCCCATGTTTCCTCATTTTTGTTGTCTTCCCCCCACTTCCCATATTTTCCTATATTTAATGGGGAATCGACGATTCATTGTGTCTGTGTGCTTTTCTCCCTCCTGAGGCACGTCAATCGGTCCCCAGGCCCCTCCCGGGGCCCGAACGCTCCAGTTTGCCGAGCTGCGCCCAGCCGTTGGGGCGAAAGGAAATCCGAACGACAACTACCATTAAGTCGGGCGTGTCCCCTACAGGGGGATTTTCGACGAAAATAAAAGATAGTCAAAAAATACCAATAAAAGATAAAACAGTCCCCAGACTATTTTTGGACTATTTTTGAACATTCCCCCTGTAGAGGGACAGGCCCGACTTACGACTACCACTGTCTCAACTCTCCCTCGTGCGAGATCCGCAGCTACGAAAAATTGTAAACACCGCAGAAATTTCCGAGCCGGCTCGATCCGTGGATGGTCCCGACGCCCGAGACCACGGGGAAGTGCCCACGTGGCAAGGGTGGTGATGAAAGAGGAACGCACGTGAAACTGACAATTGGGATGACCGACATGGGTACGGAAAGAATGGGTACAAAGACCGACTGCAGTTCTTGTCCATTTTAAACCGGATTCGCTGTCGGCGTCCAAAGACAAGGAGCAGGACTGGGGGAGGGCCACGAGATGAAGGCACTACGGAGATGGCTTCGGGCTTCCACCGAGAAAAATCGAGGGGTCGCGTCGGTACGGATGCTCGCTGTCATCGGGCTGGGTGGAATGGGGGGATAGCAAAGGGGGGGTTGGAGAATCAGCTCACGTAGCTGATCTTCCCGGCGCCTCCCGGCGCGGGGAGGCGCCCATGTATCGAGGAATGGGCCCAGCGGCGGGGCCGGAACCAGCTGCACGCAGCAGGTTTCGTAACCCCCCCCTTTGCCTATCCCCCCCTTTCGTTCGGCCCGATGTCAGCTCGTGGCATGGCCCCCAAGCCCTGGCCAAACGTGGCCCGAGGCAGCGGAGGGGAACAGGAGCGGGGAGCTCGGACACGGCATGTCCACCGTCCGCGCGCGGAGCGAGGCCAAGTGGGGACGACGAGGGCGACGAGACCGACTACGACGAGGACGAGGGCGACGACGACGACGACGACGACGACGACGACGACGACGACGACGACGACGACGACGACGACTGCACCGCCCGGACGCCGACGACGAGGACGGCGACTAACATCGCTGAACCGATCCCAATCCCCACTGGCATGGTCTTGGCCCCCTTCGCCGACCTACCCCCCTTGGATGGGAACACTGGCTGCTCTTCGCGGGCTTCGAGAAAGGCATATCCACAATTGAAGGTCGGGGTGGCGAGGCTGAGATAGATACGCCTAGTGGGGATGGGGGAAATGGGATACGGCAGGTTCGCGTCGTGTCGACGCTGGCGTTGGTTCCTGACACCGCGGGGACCGTTCAAACTTCAACAATTGGCCCTTTCAAACAGGCCCGATCGTTCGAGGATGGGCCGCTTCTGGGCCACAGGCGGCGTTCATCCCTGAACGCCCGCGCTGGGATCGCCGCCGGTCGACACGACGTTAACCTGCCATAAGGTGAAAGAGATTGAGCCACGACGTCAGCAACTTCGTCGTCGACGACGACGACGCTGGCTGACGACGACGGCGCAGCCCGGCGGCGAGACGGCAGCGGCCGCACCACACCCGCGCCCACGCGCCTCCTTTGCAGGAGGCGCAAGCCTCCTCGTCGCCTCCGGCGCCGTCGCCTCCGCCTCGCGGAGCGGCTCCGGCCTGGGGCGCCATGACGTTCACACACACACACACACACACGCACACGCACGCACGCACGCACGAACGCAAACACGTCCTCAAAAGAGCTGGTTTCAGGGCTGGCGATCGCCGTCTCGCGTCGATGAGAGCTCTGGGACACCATTCGCGCTGACAAACGCCGACCGTGGCGGGACTCATCCGCCACGGATTCTCACGGCGTCCTAATTACCCTTTCGCCCCCGCCACCCCCACCACAGCGCTGAATTACTGCAATTGCTGGCCAGGGGGTCCTGCAGAACCTGGAACCTCGTGCACTGGACGAGAAGAAGGAAGATGCGGATATGGCAAATGAGCGAGAGGAGGAACATAAGAAAGAGCACGATGATGAGGCAGGGGGAGAAGCAGCAGCAGGAGCAGGAAGAGAGAGACAAGCAGGAAAACCATTAGGGAGCGGAAAGGTAGGAGGGACGCGGCATCATCGATGAGCGAATCCGATGGAAGAGTTTGTTAGTTCCAACCGCATGGCGCACTCATGGTGTCCGTCAGACGTCTGTACAGAGCGCCCGACTCGACGCATGCAAGAGGAAGGCGGGCGGCAGCAGCGGGGGCGCCGGCGAGGGAAATCAGACGATTCCTCGGGATTCCCTGGCGCGCGAGCGACAAGAAAAAGACGAGGTCCACCCTCGGGCGGACTGGGCACTCTCCCGGTCAAAACGAGACCTGCCGGCACGCACGCAGCCAGGCAGAGGGGCCCAACCCCCACCACCGGCACCAGCGCCACCAGCTCCGCGGAGCCTCCGCGGAGCGGCAGCAGTAGGGGGCCACATGCGAACCCTACCCCTACCCCCTACGATTTCTGAGGGGGAGGGTTGGGTTCACTTCGTGAATCGTGGGGGGTAGGGGTAGGGTTCGCATGTGGCCCCCTAAGCAGGGAAACACGAAGGGGGAGTGGAGCCCGCAGCAGCACCGGCAAGGAAGCAGCAGCAGCAGCAGCAGCAGCAGCAGCAGCAGCAGCAGCAGCAGTGGAGCGCACAGGGGGAACCGCCACGGGGGGGGAGGCCCACAGAGAAAACACGGGCTGCCAGCACGCCCTCCTCCTGGGAACGGCGGGCCAAAGCGAGCACGACGGCCCCATGCTTGCACGAGAAGCCCGCCGCGCGGCGGAGGCGCGCGTGCAGGGGAGGCGCCTGGCACTCCTATAGGAACTCCCTGCCGCGCTGCCCGACGCCCCAAGGCGAGAGGACGAGGGAACTCCCGCGCTGGCATGCGAGGCGGGGACTTATCCATATCCACCGCCTGGGCACCGACGTCCTGGTGCCCCAGCGGGCGGTGGATATGGATGTATGTAGGCCCCCGGGGGCCCGAACATGTCCATATCCACCGCCTGCCGAGGTCCTCCAAGATTGATCCTCCAGGCGGTGGTCGTGTACAAACTCCCGCCTCGGATGGCAGCTCGGGGGCCCGGCCGGGCCGACGGAGGGCGCCGTCCTCGCGGGAGCCCCGGCGGCCGCACAACGGCGACGAGGAGGCCGCCCGAGCGAGAGGAGAGCGCCTGGGGGGGGGGAGGGGGGCGGCCGCGGGGGGCGGGGCGGGGCGCCGCGCGGGCAGGACCCGCGGATCGCCGGGCTTCGGGCAACCGCGGCGAGAGGGAGGCAGAGCCTCTCGGCCGGCGGCAGCAGTGCTCCCCCGCGCGCCGCGCCTGCCCCCCGCTCGGAGCGAAGGAGCCAAGGCGGGGCGGAGGGAGCGGCCAGCCCAGCGACCCTGCTCTCGGCCGCGCTCAGACGCTCGGGTTGAGTGCCGCCGCCCCCTCGCAGAGTACGCTGCGTCCGCGTTCCCGGGGCCTCTGCCACTGTTGAGGGGGCCCTGGGACACACCAGTAAATACACACAAATAACAGGATCCCCCACATTTCCCCATATTTTCTGGGTTGTTGTCTTCCCCCCAACTTCCCGTACTTTCCCATATTTTCTGGGGAATCGACGATTCATTGTGTCTGTGTGTTTTTGTTCCCTCCTGAGCTGTGTTACGTGTCAAAGGTTCTGAAAGCGGAGCTCGCCATCCTCGAGCGGGCACGCGCAAGGTAAACTCGCTCATTTATACTGCTAAAGTTGATCGAACATTCATATCGCATCCATCACGAGGATTCCTCGCAAAACGCTCCGCACCTTTTGCCAGCAACGGAAAGCGGGATCTGCGGACCCAATTACTCATCGACGATCCGATGTAGAGGCGCATGTCCCTCGAGCGTGTACGCACGGAACGCGATAGCTCAATATATCGGAGGTTGGGGGGTGAGTCCGACGTGAAACGGAGACCCCCCCTGCCGGGAAATCGATTTCGGTTTCGGGTTCGTGTCGTGCGTGCCGTGCGTGCGGGCGAGGCGAAGCTGCTTGGACGGGCGAGAGGAAACCCTCCTGTGGCTGGGCCGCGGCCAGACCAAATGCTTCTCCTCCGGCGGCCGGTGGCCCGCGGTGGCCCGCCGGTGTCCCGCTGGTGTCCCGAGATCCTCCTGTGGCTGGGACGCGGCCGGACCAAATGTTTCTCCTCCGGCGGCCGGTGGCCCGCGGTGTCCCGCCAGTGTCCCGCTGGTGTCCCGTGGTGTCCGCCGTTGCTAGGGCGAAGTCAAGACAAATGACTCTCCCCGTCCCGCCCGTCCAGCGGTGGCTCGCGGTGTCCCGCGGTGTCCCGTGGTGTCCCGTGGTGTCCCGTTGAATGAGATCGATAGTAAGATCGATAGTGAGATCGATAGTGAGATCGATACTGAGATCAATGTGGTGCCCCGAGGTGCCCCGTTGAGTGAGATCGATAGTGAGATCGATAGTGAGATCGATAGTGAGATCGATGTAGTGTCCCCAGGTGTCCTGTGGTGTCCTATGGTGTCCCGTTGAATGAGATCGATAGTGAGATCGATAGTGAGATCGATAGTGAGATGGAGAGGTGTCCCACGGTGTCCCATAGTGTCCTGTGGTGTCATGTGGTGTCCCGTTGAGTGAGATCGATAGTGAGATGGAGAGGTGTCCCGTGGTGTCCCGTTAAGTGAGATCGATAGTGAGATCGATTGAATCAGATGTTGGTTCCCCCCCCTCCCCCCCACAACCTCCTTATCACCCGAAGGGTGGTCGTATAGGTAACCTAATTCCGCTGGCCCACACCCAACACGCTTCCGGGGGGCAGGTCTGCCTACTTAAAAACTGTGCATACGCATGTTTCGGGAATCGTGCTCCCGTTGTTCGCCTCTTCGTGTTAGGTCGGGCATGTCCCCCTAAAAACAAAAATAACCCCAATCATGCCCCCAACAACAAATGATACTAAAAAAATCGTCCCCGGACTGTATATTTACTATGTTTGAATATTCCTCCTATAGAGAGACAGGCCCGACTTCATTTTCGTGGCACCTGGCGGCGCAGAACAGAATAGCATCACGGGCATTTCTCCGAGTCCGATAGCCAGATCTATCCCTACTCCTCCTCTGCTGCCCTCTCCTCGTCCTCCTCGTCCTCCTCGTTCTCCTCGTCATACTATTCCTTCTCCTCCCTCCTCCTCCTCCTCCTCCTCCTCCTCCTCCTCCGACTCTGAGCGAACCCGACCAGCACAGAAACTGATGAATTCGCTGACGACCGCCAATGTTGCACTTGGGAGGCACAACTGCCGGGCGGACCATTTTCGGAACAGGGCGAGTTGAGACAACGGCAGCTCAAAATCAGTCCCCAGGCCCCTTCCGGGGTCCAAGCGCACGAGCTCTCCAGGCCGCGTCCGGCCGTGCACGCGACGGGGGCCCCTCCGAAGGCCAGCTACCGCTGCCTCAACTCGCCCTCGTCTGACATTCAGTGCTTCGGCCCAGTTTTGCATGCTGCCGGCGTTCCGCGTCCCACGCGAAGGTTGTACGCAGACCAACCTGGTTAGGGCCACTTGCAAAGGTGCCCGAGCGCAAACGGCCAAGTGTAGACTGTCGCGGCTGCGGCAGGGCCGCCACCAACGACAGGGGCTCCCGTACGAGCGTCAGCTCAGCAGAGGCAAGCAGGCAGTCAGGCCTTCGTAGTGCCATCCATCCGCGGGAGCCATCGGCAACACAATCCAGCATACCCCTCCCTCGTCTGCTCAAGAAAAAATCGGGCTCTACATCGAGCCGCATCGGCAATGCGGCGCAACCCTCCGCGCCCTCCTCCTCCTCCTCCTTCTCGTCCTCTGCCTCCTCCTCCTCCTCGTCCTCTGCATCCTCCTCCTCCTCCTCCTCCTCGTCCTCCTCCTCCTCCTCGTTTCCTCCTCCTCCTCCTCCTCCTCCTCCTCCTCCTCCTCCTCCTCCTCCTCCTCCTCCTCCTCCTCCTCCTACTCCTACTCCTACTCCTCCACCTCCTCTTCACTCCTTCTCCTCCTCCTCCCATCTGGGAGGCCGAGATCCCTAATCACCATCTTCCTTCTCCTCTTCTCCTCTCCTGGGCACCGCGGCACGAGCCTGGTCGCGTCGGCGCCGGCCCCGGTCAGCAGCACCACCTGGGGGCCGAGGCAAGGACAGTCGCAGCCCCCCGGAAGCAGCAAGGCGAGAAGGAGCAGGAGGAGGCAACATTGGACCGAAACGAGTGCGCAGAGCAGCAGCTGAGACAGAGAACGAGCAGGAAACATAACGAGCACGCGCAACTCGACGGGAACAAATAGCCCGAAAGAGCTGTCCAAGACGGAGACAAAAGCAGGCATCGTCCGTAGAGAGACGTGGACCGGGGTCCCCCCGCCACTCCCCCGAGATGGGGCCCGTACCCGCCTCGAGAGACTTAAGATAGGTGGCGTCCTTACTGGATGCATTGCCCTCGCAGTGGCCCGAGAGCCGCGGGCGCGGGGCCGTCGGCTGGGCCCGCGCGCCGCACCCGAAGGCAGAATGCAAGGATAGCTCCAGCAAGCCGGATCTGGGGTCCCCGAGCGTTACTAGGCCCAGCAGGGCCTTAAACGGGGAGGGGACATCAGGGAGAACAGCATCACGCGCGGCCCAGGACCCCCCCCGCAGAGGACCCCCAGAGGTCCGAGCCCTCTTGCAGGGCGGAGGCCCCCAAGGGCTGCCAGGGGGGCGGCCGCCGGGGCCGACGGCGGGGGGCGGGGCCAGGGGCCGAGGGGCCTTCGGGCGCAGCCCACCAGAGGACCAGTCCTCCATGGCGCCCCCCCCCCCCCCAGTCCTAGCACGCGAGTTGCAGGCGGGGGAGCGGGGCACGGGTTCCTCGGAGCCTCGGGGGCGAACGGCCTTGGCCAGCCTGCCCGCCGCATCCTCAAGGTCCTCGTCCGAGTGCTCCTCCTCCGTCCTGAACCGCACCCGCTTAAACGCCAGAGACCGCTGGAGGCCCTCGGTTGCCAGGGGCGGCGGCCCCCCCACGTCGGCGGCCACCTCAGCAGGGCCAGCCGCCGCGCTCGCCTCGGAGGGGCCCTCGGCCCCCAGACGCCCCCGAAACACCCGCGCCATCCGAATCAGGCGCCACGTGGGAAGCCTCGAGCGAAACGCACCCCTAGACCCCAAAGGGCCGCCGCCGCGGCAACCCTACGCACGTCCCGCTCGAGTCTCGCAGCACCTTTGGCGGAGACCGCGAAAGCGGAGCAACGAACACAAGACCGCTTCTGCCCCGCACGCTGCCCCGCCCGCTGCTGCCCCCAGCGGCTGCGCGGGGGGGCTGCGCGGCGCCTCGGCGCGCGGTCGCGGTCTGGCAGCACGGCGCCATCGAAAACCACGCGGGGGGCGGTGCCGATCCAGGCCGCGACCTGGCGCACGTGCTCCAGGGCGCCGCTGTGTCTCTCGACGACGGCCCGAGGGAGGTCGTGGATGAGCCGCCCCCGCTTGGCCGCCGCATCGGCCAGGTCGTTGCATCTCCTCTCCAAAGTGTCGGCTCTGGAGTGACCCTTCACATGCGATACTTGCATCGGCGCCCCCACGTCCCCATCCAGGGCCACGCCGCCATGCTCATCCACGCATTGGTAGAACATAGATCCGTTTTCTCGCGCCGAAATGAAGTGCACCAAAATCGCCCTCGATGGAAGCCCTTCAGCAGCGGCATGTAGTCCTCAAGGATATGCATTGGAGCCACCCCCACTGTCAAGGCCTGCAGTGCTGCGCGCAGCTCAGCACGCCCTGAGGATTAGCGAGGTCCAGAGAGAGGCCCAACAGCGGTGCCACAGTATCTGCCGTCCCCCGCCACCACGAAGCCCCATCTAGCACGGTCGGCCACGCCCCAGCGCAGCAACTTCTCGCAAGAGCCGCCCGCGAAGACAGATCCAATCACATTGAAGTGGCCCTCGGCTCTGGCACCGCGGTCGCAGCACCAAACCGAACGATCACCGGGGAGGAGAAGGGCAGGCGAGAAAGAGTTGGGAAACAACCCGCGTAAACGCAACATAACACCAGGAAACGCGCCGCGAGCAGTTCAAAACGGCATCCGCCACTGCGCGCCCGCGCACATCAAAACACATGGGACACGCCCAGCGCCCGCGATACAACGCGCCACGCACACCCAGGCAGTTCCGACAACCCACGCCCTCGGAGCAAGCGTACTGGTGCAACCTCTTCGGAAAGAGATGTCCACCAAGTACAGCGGTGCGCAACGCTGCCCTCGCTACTGGATCCAGCATCCAGTGCTTGGCCTTAGGGTCAGGGAGCAGCATGCTTCTGATCGGTGCCAGCCAGGCGCCTGCAGGACCTCTGTGGCCACTGCGGCCCGCCGTATGCGTCGTAGCCCTTGAACGCGACCCACTTAACCAACGCTGGAGCCGCCCCCCTCAGGTCCAGAGCCTCACCGTCCCGCGCAGCGAGCAAAGGCACCTGCGGGGCCACGAACATACTTCCAGCTGGTATCCAAGGACATCGATGCAATCGAGAAAAACAGGGCCCCCCATGCCAACTGCATCGAAGCAAGGTTCACGTCGCAAGCGTGTATCATGACCGCCCAGCATTGGACGGGAGCGACGCTGGCGGCGGTGGCAGGCTGGCGGCCAGGAGCAGGATCAAGCCGCGATGCCACTCAATGCGAGCAGCCAGGTGAATGGCCTGCCACCCTTGCTTCACCAGAGAGGCCATGCGCTCGACGATGCGCGGGGCAGCACCGACGACGCCCAAGCCGCAGGCGATGGCAGGGCCCAATGCTGCACGCGCAATCTTCCGGAACTTGCCTCCGAGCGTGCTCGGCTCAAGGAAGTGCCTGGGGCGCATGGCCACCTTGCGCACCCGACGGCGCAGGCCCAGGCCCGCGGACTTCTTCCCAGCTCCGACCCCCGGACCCAGGACATCGAGCCAGGCATAAGCCCGAAAGCCATATCGCCTCAGCTTGGGGGCGACCGCAGAGGCGACATTTGGCGCCAGACGCCGCGAGCATGGCCTGGGGCTTGGCGACGGGCAACCCAAGGTCGACGAGCGCGTCGCACAAGAGCTGGAAAGCCTCAGGCGCCCTAAGCGATAGAAGCTCTCTCTCTCTCTTTCTCTCTCTCTCTCTCTCTCTCTCTCTCTCTCTCTCTCTCTCTCTCTCTCGGCCATCACCTGCAGAGCCAAATCATCAGCGACAACTATCCAGGGGGAGAGAAGAAATGTGCACCAGAATGATGCTCAAGTAGCCGCGCCTCCAGCATAAACTCTTCCATGTCTGTCAGCATCAAGAGCTGAACGACGGCCCTGGCAAAATTGCAACAAAGGGACACCCCCTGCTGGACCACCACTGGCCAGGGCAGCGGAGAGCAGCTGCCTCGGGAAGCCATGCTTTGCCGCTGTGGCCACCGACCGACGCCAGCAGATGCGGTTGAAGCATATGCTCGATGTCCACGATCGCGAAGACGGCGCCGTCGTCGAACGCGAGCGACGCCTCGGCCCGCAGCAGGGCCCGAGCTGCCACGCCGAGCGCGGCCTTGCCCGTCGCCATCGCAAAGAAGGGCCTGTCATGCTCCAGGAGCCAAGTCCGCAACTGCTGCGCCCGCACCTGGGACCAGACACGGCAGGTCGCCGGCGTTAGCGCGATGGGTCGCCACCGAACCTTCGGTTTGGCAAGAAGCACGACGCGGACGGCCGTCGTCCGTGAGGAGACTTATGGCGCCAGGAGACAGCCGATCAGCTTCTTGCCCAGCGTGCCACCTGAAGGTCCTGGCAGCATCCGCGACCTGGCCTACGTTCGGCACGGGAAGTGAAGCGTTGGTGATCGGACGGATGTACTCCATGACCTCAGCGGTGCAACTGAAATAACCGAGGTGTCGCACGCCAAAACACTCGTCACTGGCACCACCACCCTCCACCGACTCCAGCGGGGGCATGTCGGGGGCGACCCGCGCGTGCCAGATGCGGGACCACCCACCCATCTGGTCATCCGCAACATCTCGTGCAAGGGTGGGGCGACGTCCGCGACGCAGCACTTGGGAGCGTGGGGCACCAGAGGGTCTGGTGAAGCTGAAGAGCGGCTTCACACGCTTGTTGCGACACTCAGTGACCCACTGCGCACGCGCACGGCGTCTCGCAGCCACTGCCTTGTCCTCCAGCGCTTGGGCGAAAGACTGCAGCCAGGCGATGGCAACACGGACGGCGTCGACGGCCACCTCCCGCAGGTCCACCATGTCCACCCACGGGCAGCAGCCAGGCGAGTAGGCGTAGGCGTCGAGCTGCGGGTCAGGCAGCGGCCCAGGGCCAGGCACAAACTCGCGGGCACTGTGATGGCAGCCCCCACCACGACTAACCACTACGCCACGAGGAGCACCTCTCCTGGCCAGGCCGCCACGGGTCAGGTCCGATACGCGGGCGCTGCGTTGGCTCCCCAGGCCAGGCCTATGCCGCCACACGTCGCCAGCAGCAGGTCGGTCACATTGAGCCGCGACAAGCCCTCCAGCACCAAGACTTCCCCTGCGCCGCATACCTGTGGGACAACCGTCTTCTTGCCACTGATCCTCCTGCGCGCCCCCATGACGATGCGAGCTCCAGAGGCGTTCCCTCCTGTGGGGGCTTCCTCAGGGGCCCTTCCAGCAAAGCACAGCGACTGCGTGCCCGCGGCATTTCCTCGCGCGGGGGCCTCCACGAGACTTGGCATCCTAACCACAAACAAACCACCACCTTCAGGAGCAAAGAGGACATCAGCGCAGGCGCGCCCGAGCTCCCCGAGAAGCGGGCCAGAGCTCTTGCCGGGCGTCGAGGCGGCCTCGTCGAACGGCACCTGGTATCCGTTCCAGCGCGTGGAGCGGTCGCGCCGTTGCACGGGGGCGGGGCTGCGGGGTGTTCGGCGACCTGCCCCCCGCCCCGCCCAGACCAACGCGCCGCCCCTCCAGGCTGCTGCGGACCCGTCCACGTCACCCCACCAGCGACGGCGCGCTCTCCCAGCCTCGCGCCAGCGGCAACCCTCGGGCCCGCGGCGCTCGGAGGGCCCACGGGCGCCGCGACAGCCTCCAAATCCACGTCCAGGGTGTCGACGGGCCCGCCGACGCCGAACTCGGCGTCATGCACAGCAGCCCCTCCTGGAGGCAATCTCGGCGGCGGCCCCGACGGGCCCCTGGCGCGC